ATGTATCATATCCCCCCATTTTCCAAAATGTAGCTATAATTTGTTTCTTCTAGAAAATATAATGTGTTCTGATCTGAATGTGATTTTAGATATGAAATGAAATAATATATAATTGTTTTTTTTTTGTTTAAAGATAAAGTGTTTTTTTTTTTTTGTTTAAATACAAAGAATTTTGCGATTCGGGTTACTGTATTGTTTATTAAGGGAGTGTCTTTTTTATACTGTTATAGCATTATACTGTTGTAAGATGTATTAAAACTAGTTTTGTTTATTGGAATTAGCAGTTGTAGTAGAATAATGGGTTGTACAATGTTTTCACCCCCCCCTCAAATACAACTACTAAGATCTCCCCTCCCCGGCCCCCAATTCACTTGCTGCGTCATTACAGAAATCTTTATATATTTCATATATTTCATGGAGGTGTGAGATCTCCTAATTCTTGTTCGTATGATTTGTTAGGCTTGTGTGCTGCAAAGCTTCTCCAGGAGTCCGGTTTGGATGTCCGAGTTCTGGAGGCCAGGGACAGGGTAGGCGGAAGGACATACACGAAGAGGGTGAGTGTTCCATGCCCAAAATTATAGCGGCCTCGCTTTGGTGTGAACTCACGCGTGTTCACGCCAAGAATGTTCTCTCGCGTGAATACACTCAAAATGGCGACCGTAAGAGGTCGGTGTGGTCTATTGTTTAATTATCTACGTAAACCAACAGCAAGAAAGAAAGAAAGTATTTGGAAAGAAAGTGATAAAAAGAGAAAATGACTCGTGACGGATGTTTTGCCAATGAGGTTGATTTAAACTTTCCTGCTATTATAAATGTACTGTTTGTATTTCAATCGAGTAAAATAGTCTCTAAGAATTTGTTTCTTGGTGATTGGTTGTTTTTGCTACACACCACAGATTATTCAAGTAGTGGTTGTAAACGTCGAAAAGGAGAGACATCACTAATAGGGATCCTGGTAGTGTTGCACCGGTTTTAACCATTGCAACTTATTAGATTGTAATATTTTACACGAGCTACTAAGTCTCATTCTATAAAATGAAGTTCTTTTGTAACGAATTGTATTTTTAAATCCAACTGTAAATTGAATGTGCGTCGGTGAAGGTTAGACACCCAGGTAATACGATACGCCAAAAGCAGTTACTTAAGGAACTGGATTTGTTTTTGGAAAATTTGGAGAGTTCCCAAAGTCATATCCAGAGTAACTGCTTTTTGGCGTAAATTGAATGTGATTCAGTGGTCCAATTGCACTGTTTGATAAATAACTCTTGAATTGAAATTTTGTTGTTTTCCCACCCAAGGATCCTAGTTATGGGTATGTTGATTTGGGAGGTTCGTACGTGGGACCCACACAGGACAGAATCCTGCGCCTCGCAAAAGAACTGGACTTGAAAACCTACGTGGTTGATATGAAGGAGAAAGCAGTGCTCTACTTTGAGGTACATGATATGATCCAGAATCACGAAATCATATCTTTAAACACACCTTAACC